AGTGTATTGTCCTGAGCTTTCAGAAGGAAGGGTTTTTTTTTTTACAAATCTATATCAGATTCTTTAAAAGTTTAAAGAACTTTAGACTCTTCTTTAAAAATGTTTTTTTTTAAGTAAAAATTCTTTTAAAAAAGCCATTTGGCAGCTTGTCACCTTTCTCAGGTGAGGGTCTTTTGTGTTTTATAGGTAGAAATGCTACTGGAACAGTTTTCAGTTACTGTGGCTCCACGCTTAGCTACTCTGACCCCGCTGGATGTCTTTCTAACTCTTAAAAAGCTAATGCTCCAGAAAACGAGTTCCATTTGTGCTAATGGCGGCCTGCCACCACAATGCGGAGTGCGAGAAAGATGTACAGAAGTGGTTTGCACGACAGGTGCGGTATGTCTTATCTGGAAAATAAGCAGATTTGATAGAGTGCTTTGCACCACAATTAGAATGCAGATTTAAAAGACTACGGAGGTTTCTCTGCAGGACTTTGCCAGTTGAATAATCTTGCCCAACATCACCTTCCTTCATGGCTTCTGCTGCAATGTAGCTGTCCAGACTCATGCAAAGGACAGAAAACCCGCTAAGATGCAGGAATCAACGTGGGATTTAACTGAGCGGCACCATGCCATTTCAAACTGGCAACGCAGAGCTGTTGCAAATGCTAAGATCAGAAATTGGGTTTCTTCTTGGAGAATTTGTCAGCTGCATGCAAAGGGATGGGGCACTTTTTGGTGAGAAAGCCCACTGTCTCAGTTCTGACCAGCAGACGCCCACCCTGTTGCTGCCCTCTACAGAGATCAGGGAAGAGGCAGAGGTGCTACTCTAGAGTAAATTTCACAGCCAGTGCAAGGCGCAGGAAGCGCATTGAATCCAAAGCGATGAGAAGTGCAAAAGGGGGCACCAGGCGTCCCAGAGCAGAGCTTGGGGTGGGAACGCAGTAGCTGTCCTTCCCGTCTCCCCACTGTCCCATGTGACCCTTGACCCTGAGGGGCACTTTTATTATTGCTTTTAAAAGAGATGGCTCATTCCCTAAGAAGAGACTGGATTTGGTTTGAAAAGAGATAAGAAGGAAGGATGGAAGGAGGGAGGGAGGGAGACCGAGGAGCTGAGAAACAGAAGAGACCTGAAATTCTCCTCCCTCTCAGTCACTGCTACAGGGGACCTGGAGGAAATCTTGTTTTCCTGCCAATGCTAGCAGAGGGAATAAAAATCACTCTTCAGGACAAGTTCTAGAGCAGTGTTTTTCAAACTTGGCAACTTTAAGATGGGTGGATTTCAACTCCTAAAATGTCACACATCTGAAACAGAAGATGGTGACATCCCACTTGGCTCTTGATGACTCCGTTTTCTTCGCAACAGCCCAGAATCAACTTGCCCTCTTCTTCTGAGACTTTTTCCCCCCTTCCCAGTCTAGTCACCAGCCCTGAGATTCCTGGTGGTTTCCCATCCCAGTCCTAACCAGGTTGGACCCTGCTTTAGCTTCTGAGATTGGCTGCAGCCAGTGGGTGGTATAACTGACCTAGGTAGGTGATCCAGGCAGGTAAGCTGACCTACACATTTGCTTCTTGAGAAATTGAGGGGAGGGGTCAAAAATGGCAAGATGGTGGCTGCAATCACACGATCAAAGGGTCACCCCTTTTTTATGTGCATCACAACACGCACACAAAAAAGGGCTGAGGCTGTGATCACAAGG